AGTACAGGAAAAATCTTCTAATAACTATCTGGAGTCACTGGATTAATACCCTTTGTTTTCTGGTTTACTGCCTCGTTATTCAGAAATCCAGTTTTATTCTAAACAGATTTATTTACTACATAAATACTACAACTCTGGAAAAAAACTCTCTGATAAAGTAACATCTTTTTCATACCCTATAAATAAACATTGAGGAATTACCTCAGATACTAGCATGATCAAATGTTCTGAAACATTACTTCAATTATATTATGAAAATCAGGAATTTAGATACAGCATTCAATGAACTACAAAAACTCGGAATAAATGGTTTAAAATTTAATTATTTTCAGCAGTTATGCTGAAAAGTAAGGAAAGAAAGCAATGATCAGTACAAATTCTCATTTTAAGGACAGAATCATCATAGAATGGCTCGGGTTGTACAGGACCTTAAAGATCTAACTCCAACCCCTCTACCATTGGCAAGGACTCCACCCCCTAGGATCACATTGGCCAAGGCCTCATCCAGCCTGGCAAGGAAGGGAATGTGACATGGAAGACAAGAAAGACGTTGTGACTTATGAGAGGGAATGGAAAGAAACATGAAGAAGTCCCAATGAACCTTCATGTTCTCACAGTAACATTGGTCTGGAGCTAAATCCCTTTCCAAATCCATTAGGATTTATGGAGTAATTATTTCAGGCTAATGTCACGGCAGTATAAATTTAAAAAAATACACTGGGTGACAAAACTGAGTTTAACGCCTTTTACAAAACTATTTAAGATTACAAGAAAAATACTTACAAGTGTAAGACCCCCCATTTCCAAAGTTTTCGGTTCCTGAGTTCTTGTGAGCATCCTCAAATTCTCTCAAGCTCCTCTACTGCAAGAAGATTGTAGCCAAGATCTCTATCACCATTCCAGTCTTCAGCAGTCTGATTTTTCTTGACTTTCTTTATCCAACATAAACTGATAAAATGCTATAATAGTGTTCAATTTTCTGCCCTTGACTTGCTACTAACTCCTAATTCCCTCTTGATTCAACACTGCTAGAGGTCGCAAAGTGATCTCACACAGCCATCCCATTTACCATATCCCCATTTATCCCATGTGCCCTCACACAAATCCTTATTATGACGGCGATTTTCCTGAGCTTTTGTCTCTGTGGATGGTGAGTAAATCCATGTCCTCTGTGTGGTTATAGATACACACACAAGTAGTGAACTACTGAAATGCAAATGTACTACAGAAACATTACATGCGATAAAAATGTAGCTGACTCCATGAGCAAGAAACCATAGGCAGCTGTGCAGCGCAATATTTAGGAACAATTTAGATCCTGCAGATCACCATGAACTCCAAGCAACTAGAAGGTATATAAAGAGAGCAACAGGTGGTAGCTTGAAAGAGGACTTCAAATCCAGCACAAAATTTCTTTGTCTACCTTACATCAGTAAACAGCCAGTAGTCACATAGCATATCTTAGCTCATTAACAGAAGTGCTTCTGAAATTATCCACATGGATGAGATTTGTTTTGATATAAACTTGTATGTTACAATGACACGGAGCTTCCAGGAAAACTGCCCTAATAGTAATTTGCATTTGTTCTAAGAACGTGGCTTATAATGGCGATGTCATGTAAGAGGTTAGGAGTGATAATGTAACGTTCAAAATTCCAAGAAGTTGCTTAGTATGGTAGAATAAGTTAATAATCTCTAGCATTTTTCAATGGAAGAAAAAAAAGTGAGATCAGCATACACGCTTACCTGGTATTTAAAAACAAAAAACAAACAGAAAACGTTTCTAATTCCTTCTCCCCCTAATTTATACCAGAAATGCTAGTCTAACTCTACCATATTTGCCTATCTTGACTGGGTTTGACAACCAAGTTTATCTTGCTGAAAACATTACAGTATTCTACCTTTACTAGTTCTGGGGAACCAGTAAGATATTACCAAATTGCTCCTTCATCACACTTACGCTGCTGGAAAGGTTGAAAGAAAACGTTCAGCATTTAAAACATTCAATTCCTACATTCAGTCACTTGACCTATTCTAAATGTGTGAAACCACATACTAAAATTAGGTACTTCAAGCTGTAATAAACCATCACAACAGCTATGACTTTGATCCTTATAATAAAAAATATCTATGAATCTAATTTTTGGCATTCATATTTGAATGAAAGAAATGTCACTACGCAAATACGTTATCATTTCCACACGTCATTTCAATCTTTAGAAGTTCTTCAGTGACATTTTTCCAACTGGGTTTTGAATGTCTGTAGCAGAGCAGAGAGATTCCCATCACCAGAATAAATATGTCACAGTTGTTCCGTGAGATTAAGGATTAAGGTCTCTCATATTTGCCAAAAAGATAAAATAAACAAAACTTTCCTCTCAATAAAACTGTCTGAGCCACAACTAACTGTGTGTAAGCACCATCAGGATGTACTGTGAAATGACCCAATCAGCACAGATTTATCATTAATGACATTATTAATAATAATAACCTATAATAAATCTTTACTAAACCTTACAACCTTTTTTTTTTGTTGTTACAGAAAAAGCTCAAGTAAACATTTTTATCTCTTTCAACAAGATCAATCAAGACCCAAGTAATTCAGAACTGCTACATGCAGGTTTCAGTTAAACTGAGAAAAATTCAAAAATCAATAGTCAAGGAAAGCAACAAATAAAGCAATATAAGGTTCCAGCATACCAACATTCACTTTAGAATCAGAGCAAGAAATACGAACTTTAGTAAAAAAAAAAAAAAAAAGAAAGAAAAAAAATCTAAGGGAAAACAGGTTATTTATAGAACAAATATTAAATACACTAATAGATTAACCACTTTGCCAGGAAACCTGCAATACTGCATTTATTTTTACCTGAATTATTTAAGCACAATTCATACAAACTGTTCATATAGTTTTGAATGCTTCTATAATTTTATTACAAACCTCAAGATTTTTGAAGTACCTCAGAAATGTTATGTCCCCATTTCAAGTCTACAGTAAAATACACTCTTCATTTTAACTTGAATGTATAACTCAGTGCAACTTGACTGTATTAGAAAGACTCAAATCAAAACACCATTTAAAGACAAATCTTGGAATGTTTTCTGTACATTACTGCGGAAATAACCACTGTTAGTGCTTAGCCAGGACCACTACTATACTCAAGAAAATATGTTCATTTCAGTAATGTTCTCACTAGATAGATATTAGCTTTTAAATTTACTGTTAGAATACAGATTTTTGAGATTTACACATTTTCAATGGCATACATTTTTTTACAGTTGTTAGTCTTCGAGTTTTGTCTTTCTTCAGTGGAAATTTACCAGAATTGCTCTGCTCTCTGATATGAAAATACTGACAAGCTGGCAAGTACATTAACAATCACCAGGGTCTCCAAATGTAAGATGGTGGTAAAGACAAACTTATTTACCATATTAATTAAATGGTCTATTTAACATGGAATATCAATTCTCTAATCACATCTCATTTGAGCTTCTTATTTCAATTAACAACCCTAAAGTCTACTAGAGATCCTACTGTTCTAGGATCATTAAGAACATTTTCATTATCTGTCAAATGAGGGAGGAAAAGGCAGAAACTGCAAGTACTCTCAGGAGTAGGCTCCTACCCTACTTAAGAGATGATTAGGGAGTAAACAGCAGTAGTTCTCATTAGTTGCTTAGCAATGAAATGTCCCCCTATGAAACAAGAAATGAACAAAGCAAGAGGTGTTGCCACGTAAACGATGGATAATCTTTCATCCACTCAAGGATAATCTGTCCTTCATTAAATCTAATCAGTCTGGATTAAGACACCAATGGTACCTTGCATAGAGAAGGTAGGAAATGAAGAATCACCTATATATAGACTCACTGAAGTAGCAAGATAACATGTTGTTCAAGATTACATATCTGCGTTGTTTTCATTGTATGTGTGTACAACAAAAAGAAATGTAAGGAAATAGTTCTAATTCAGACTAGATTGTCATTTTTACTATTCATTCTTACTATATCTTTTACATCCACGGTTATATCCAAATTGTTAACAAATTGTTGTTAAATGTCAATTGAATTATTGCTAACGATTAGCCGTACTCTTAGTGTTCATAAAAACTTAAATACTAACCTATAAATGCAAAACATCAATAACGTTCTAGTAAGAGATGAGCATTTAACCAGTTTTCTAAATAGGAAAGTTTGCAAAAAATACAATCACATGAATTCACTCACCAGAAATACATCTATTTATGCTACTACTGGTATTACAACCCCAGAAGAGCAAAGTCCTTAACTAAGGAAATTTGATTACTGATGCATTAATTTTCAGTCCCCAGTTCCAGCTTGCCATTCTTTCAGCTACAGATCCACTTTATTAGGTTCCCCTTCCTTTCATTTTCCTGCCACTCAGTAAAAGGTTTCCTTATTTCATGGTTGTTGGGTTGCTTATTTTTTTGCTAAGCTGGTTTGTTTTCTTTTTGTTGTTGTTTCGGTGTTTGTTTGGTTTTTTTTTAGGTCATTTCATACATGCTATTTAAATTTTTCACAAAAACTTGTGAATTAGAGGAGAGAAATTTGATGAAAAAGGATCAGGAGTGACAAATGAGGCACTTCTTAACTATATCTGCAGTTAAGAAATAAAGATGAAAGAAAATGCCGGATTGCCCTTCTTTTGTTAGCTTCCTTATCTACAAACACAACTCTGCCTGCAACTTCAACAGATAGTTTTTGATTGGTTGGTTGGTTTGGTTGGTTGGGTAGGTTTGTTTATGGGCATTTTTTTGGACATATATCTGAAAAATACCGAAACTCTACTGACTATTTACACAAAAATTGCTTGTCAGTGTGTATTTAAGAGAACCATACAGATTTATAATTACAAATATTTATAATAATAGAATTCATGTCTCTAATTATGATTAGCTAATCCAAATTTTCATATTAAAACAAATGTGCTGTCCTAAAACCAGTACCAATTCATAATTCAGTATTATGATAAATCTTACCTATATATTCACAAACGAAGACTACAAAAAAAGGAGTTACAAGATCATTTATGCCCTGAACATATCCACTGGCTGGATGACGTATAGCCCAGATAAACAAAATTCTTTCAAAGATCTGAAAAAGAATTAAAGAAACCATCAGATAATTTATCAAGTGGTGAGCACATTTTAAACAAGATACTGGAAAAGTATAGAAGCGCAGTTTTGATATCACAGAGTTACAAGTATAAAAATACACTTATAAAAGAATACATGAATGATTGTATTCATAATTAACTGCCAATGTTAATTAAGTTTCTCAGTTATTTAAAAGAAAATATTTTCAGGGTATTAGCACATGTTAAAACCAGCCTTGCATATAATTCAGTTACAGTAGTTACAACAGAGCAGCACTTATTCACTGGAGCTTTTCAAATAATATAAAACTCCTTTCTTCATGATACAGAAATAATAAATCATTTTTCCATGACCATTCATCTCTTTGAGACCAATATTTTATCAATACAGTATCCCATTTGTTGCTAGGTAACAGAAAGAAGTACTTAATATAAGTACATTTTTTTAATAACATGTCCAATAAAATCTCTGTAAGAGTTACGTTTGCCTAATATGGCAGCATAGAGCTTTAGAATTCAGAGGCAGGTATGCTGGGTAATAAAACATCTGAAAAATCAGGAATGTAGAAAGCAGGCAACCACCTCCCTTACCACACAGCCCGATCCCCTAAGTTCTTCTAACCATACATAGCTTAGGACCTGCAAAAGCTCCAAAGGCCACAACATAGACAGTCTGACTATGGGAAGGGCAACGTGTGAAGAATACAAAGCAGAAGAATCACAGAACATATGTCCAAAACAATTTAGGTCTGCATCAGGTTGTATCTCCTCTTAACTGTTTGGTTCTGCAAGTGCTACGTTTCTTTGGAAAGCTGCAAATGAGCAGCACAGTGAAAGCTGCTGTGTGTTTTGCTCTGATTACTGGTACTCAGACAGTCATAATCTTCTGAGGTGAAAGAAAGTTTGCTCCTTCTCTGGAAGGTCTGCCAAAAAGCCAGAGTGCAGGTGGGCAGGGAGGCAGGGCAGATGCAGGAGAGCTTATCAAACAAAAGGACTGCATCACTTTTAAGAGCAGGCCTCAGAACTAATAAAAAGGGAAAGACTTTGTAAAGACCCCAAGGTAGAGTTTGCTGCAACCCCAGAAGTCAGCGAATGCTCAGGCTTCAAGACCACTCGCAAGAGACGTGCCCTGAATGGACACAGTAGGAAGTTTAGTTTATGAAGCTTTTACTGTTTCTGTTCAATCTCACTTCAAATTTTTGTTAGCTTAGCTCCAAATTTCGTAATAGCAACTTTACTCTCCCTCAGAACCTGATAACATACATAGTTTGCATTGCAAACTGAGATGCCTATGGATTTCAAAGCACTTTTAAAATCCAGCTGTGAAAACTAAGGTATAGGGAAGGGTTATTAAATTTTTTTTTGAGCATCAAATTATTAAGCTGCAAGGATTGCTTCATAATTGGCATACCAGATTTAATATCCCCAAATGCATCTAATCAGAAATTCAACAAATACACACTGAAATAGTGTTTTCAATTTCCTACCCATTTTCATGAAGTTTCATTTACTGCTTTGAATAGAAAAAAATGAGCGCTGAATACCTGAAAGGCAGTCTGATTTAAGTTTCTATACAGCACTCATCACTGTGTTCAAATAGCACTCATTAAAAAGGTCACTTTCCCAAAAGGTTTCCTTCTTGATTTCCAAACCAGCAACAGAAACCGGAATAACTTCTAGTACGAACCACTACATCTCAAGAGTTGTCATTACCTATCAATTACTCTCCTTTGAATTTAACTCTCATTCATCATAACAGTAAGAACTGTATTCATATACATAAAAGAAGAATTCATTAGCTTAAATGCAGATTTTGAATTTCTTATATGTTTTGCCACCTCAGAGGAACTCCAAAACCCCCCAAAGTTTTAATCAGGAAAGCTTCTTAGAATTTGCTTTTGTTTCTCTTTAACCAATAAAAGAGGTGGGGACGATTTTATAAAGTATTTTTCAATCTTGTATACTTGAAATTACTTCTCCCATACAATGCAAGCATAGAAGGGAAAATGCAAAGGCTTACACTATTCTATTCAATCAAACTCATTTAAAGACAACACAGAAATTGAAAATAAAATTACAGACTACTGCACTCTGACTAATCACATTGACTAAACCTAGATTACAGTCACTAATCTTTATTAAAATAAAGTATTTATAACACGTAAGTCCAACAAACTTGACTGAACTATATGTGGGAAGACCTCCAATACCTCTCTCCCCCTCTTTCAAGTGACGCTATTTATTCTCAGTCTTTTAGCTTCTCACTCCAACAATACCCTTCTCTTCCCAACTCCCACTGTCCCCTCCCCAATCTACACAACTCCCATAAAAATAAATACTTAAAATTGATTTAAAATGATCTAATAATGAGTTATTTCCACACAGCGTCAAATTCAAAACAACTTTTCCTAAACTCAAGCATACGATAATTTCTTAAGTGGAATACTCTCATGGTAAAAGCTTCCAGATCTTGAATGATTTTGACAAATGCAGAGAACCACAGGAACTATGCTCTGAATTAATTCAAAAAAAAACATTAACAACATATATAAAAGGCAAAAAAGAAAAAAGACTCAAAAGTACACAACAGAAGAAGAAACCAACAGAATCAAAGCAGATTTTTTTTTTCCTGTTACTACTCATGCCTTCATTGTTAGTTATGTACTATACTTACGCATTTTCATTTTTTGGACTTTATGTTAGTTCTCAAGCCAAAATAGTAACTGTTGTCAAATTACTTAATGTGATACCAGATTCATTAATAAAATGGGTGACCTAAAAACACATTATTTAAATATAATTCTTACCTCTGTTACTTTGGGCTGAAGTCTTAAAACTTCAGGACTCATGCGTGGGATATCTATATGAATCTAATTGGACAGAAACAAGAATCATGTAAAAGGAGACAACAGCACAATTTTTAAATAACAAAAAAGCTTTTTAAATAACAAAAAAAAAAAAATCCTGTGGTTTTACACTGTTAGCTATACCCTATCTCACTATTTTAGGAATAATGTGAATTTATTGTAGTTCAAAAATAAAGGACCAAATCTTTAAGTCATTATTATCTAATCTATTAATCAGACAAAAAACAACATAGAATTCCCCGCAATGCTTTAAGATCCTTACATTAATTTTGACTGCTTCCAAATTATGGTCTTGTTGGCAATACTCTTTTCCTCAGTGTAACTACATCTAACATCACACGTATGTAAAGCCATGTTCAACAGACATTGTGAATACTTCTTGCTACTAAAGATCAGGCTTGAAGCAGAAGAAAGATAACCGCTTACTCTTTCTTAAGGAAGGCTAATGTAGGATAACTTAGTTTATATTTAGTGATACAAACTAATCAGTTTAATATAAAACTTGAAGAAGAGTTATCTGCTTATCCAGGGAGGCAAGAAATTTTGACACACCTATCGTAATTACACACCACACAGTTTCAACTTCTTAAGCAGAAGTATGGAGCCAGTAAGGATCAGTTAGATATCCTCTGTCACATCCTCTCACTCATTTGAAGGAGGGTCTGAGGAGATGAATGCTTTGAAAACCCCGTTATGCTTGAATGTTGAAGCATGTCCATGTGGTACAGCCACGCAGCATGGCATGACAAAAGCCGACTTTCAAATAAATCCACTATTTTAAGTGTCAGACCAAAATATTTTATATTTTGAAACAGATTAAGATTAATTTTGCTTCTAAAACATAGGAAAGCTGACTGAAGTAAGATTTAGTAGATATATAAAAACAATAGCAAACTTCAAAATTAATTTCTTCAAGTTCTTTAACAGATCTCATGTAGGTAGAAGTCACTTCAGTAGGTGTTCTACCTGTCTATAGGTATCTTGGTGACTCTCATCATTTCTGGAATCATAGTATTGCTCAACGAAAGCAAAATACTCTTTCCGTTTTCTTTGTAAAGTGCTTTCTCTTCGGTCCACGTTTGCAGGAAGATAACCCTGAAAAAATAAAAAAGTAAAATGAGAAGGATATTACTCTTTGCTTCACAAAAAGCACAGTTAGCATTTGATAATATGCAACAGAGAAGCTAATGAACAAGTGTAGTACAATGCAGTCCGATTTGAATCTGAATAATACCTTAGCAAATCAGTTTTCTAATCATTCCAACTGAATACAAAAGTGCGTTTTTTTTTAAGAACACATTCCAAGGCTTTCACCTTTAAAAAGCAATTTCTCATCAAGAATTTTAGATGTTTGCCTTTCAAAGAGAAAAGGTCAAAACAAATAATTTCAGAAAAATGCAATGCAACATGAGTTCATTAATTTCTGCATTCCCACATGGGTCTTATTGGAGCAATTTTATTCAATTTTTAACAAAACGTGTCTCAGTTGCTTTAAGGTAGGAATGATATACATTTGCCAATATACTTATGTTTAAATTAGATTTAACCTCATAATACAACAGAGTATTTATTCTAAAGCCTTAAAATATTCGAGGTAGTTTATCTCACTCCTTTAGATCACAAAAAAAATAATTTCAAGTTTTCATTTTCTCAACAGGTTGTGAGAAGTTTTGGCACATACATCAGTAACCGGGCTCTTAGATATAAAGATGCAAGCTATACAGTTCTAGTTTTTTTCCTAAAATCAATTTATAAATATTATTTTTCCAAAAGTATTGGCATGGTAATGAAGCAATGTCAGATACATAGGTTTTGCACTTAATGTATATCTGAGTTGTTCTTCGTTGAACTCATCTTCATATCTACCTCAAAATCCCATTCTTCCAAAAAAATCCATTCTTATTTCCTGTTCTGTCCAGTTTGATCCCTATTTCTGAGATCTCAGCCTACCTTTCATTTCAAAATAGCAGTCTCAAGTTATCATTTCAGCATTTTAAGAAAGGAAATATCATTGATGTTATTAAACGTTCAGTATTATATAAACTGAACATATTAGAAACACCATTATTCATGTACCTGGCTGCCTAAAAGTTTCCTGAACATTCAAGAATAGTTAATACTTTCTCATATGCAGCTTGATTTCAAACATAATGTTACAAAAAAGAAAGGGAATTCATATTTTATATATGCCAGGCTTGAAAAAAAAAAATACTTCATAGAAAAATTGTTCTAAACATAAGTGGGATTAAGAGACCTAGCCATCCTAAGAAAAAAGATTCATGTATCTTCCTTGACTATTCAAGTCAAATTAAATTATTTCTTGCCAGTATTACAAAAATTATCCTTCCACATTTTCAGCTGTCATCGTACTAATGGTAATTAGTGTAAGAGAGAAAGCGAATTTGTCAGCCATATGTTTCCTTAAAAAATAAATAAATAAATCCTCATAACATCACGGAACTTGATACTAGAAGTGGAGCACAGACTTGCACTTAAACAATGAGTCACAGCCAGTGCAAGTAACTAATAAGATGCTATGCATTTAACTACCAAAACAACTTTATTATACAGTCCTTAACAAGCAAAAATGGGATAAATCTTACATTCTAAAATTGTTGATTATACAACAGAACTAAACACCACATTAGGAATAAATACACTGGGTGCGTTACTCTCCTACGGCAACAAAACATCATATTGCAACTCCATGTTGTTTTGCTTAAAACAACAGAAGAAAAAAAAAATACACCACACTAGAACATCAACAGATTTTTGTAAAGATGTCTGCATTAAAATAATTTTAAATGTTATACTGTGTATCACAATTTCTTCTTCTTTTAAGAAAACAAGGGATTAAGTGCAAACGATATTACATTCCGGATAGTTTAACAGGTACTTACTTTGGCAAGCCATTTCTTTTAAGATGTACTGTCTTACATCTGATTCTGGGTATTTCTAAATCGCATCAGCTTAACTTTTGCCTCGAGATTCAGTCTGACATTTAATATCCTGTCCCAGTGCTTTCTATTTAGTTAAATATTGAATTCAGCCTCCCATTCATTCTCAATGGTTTGATTTTTTTTTCCTGTAGCATATCTTAGCCCCATTAGAAAATAATTCATTTGCGAGATCAAATGTGATTGTTCCAAGGACACCAATATTTTCTCAGCAACAGACTTTTTGCCATTATTCAGTTTCAAAGACCGAAGCCATCTTTCAATTGGACGTGTCCCGTTTCCCATTCACTTTACAAATTAGGTTTTATTTTTAAAAGTTGGAAAGGATTGCAACATATCATCTGGGCATAAATTGGTAGAGAGTTTAATCTGTTTATTCATTAATTTCTCTCCAAGGTAACCATATATTTAGCTTCGGTATTCAAAAGAGCAGTGGGCCTGAATAGTTTTGCTTGCTGTTTAGGTACAGAATGCCCGATTTTCTTCTATATTTTAGAAATAAATCATGCATGTTTACATACTGTTACCAGTAGACATGACAGCAATAGCCCCTCAGCATTATATTGATTTTCATATACTTTCGCTTTGAAAAACTGTTTTCCTAAAATATTTTAACACTCTTACCCTTCTGACTAAACACCACCTTAACTCAACAATTTTTAAAACCACATTTGATGAATTTCAACTTCAATACTGATTTAACAAATTAGACAAATACTTTCTACCTCAGATATTACCAATGATAATCAGTCCCCCGAATAAATCGGTTTTTGGGCTTTTGACATAAAAACTCCGAGCAATTCGAAACAAAACAAAACCAGCCTTAATTAAGCTCTAAGTTATGCTTTGGCTTTGACTGTATGTTTTTTCTTTTACTTCTGCAACCAATCTTTAAGCAAAGCAAAATTTAAGTCTGCTTTTGTGTATTCATTTCCCCAGCAGTTCCCATTGCACCTTTCAACACAGAAGATGACCACATTACCCCTCTTATCTGGGATGTAAATAACATATATTTAAACAACTCATGACACTAAAAAATAAATAATATTAGAAAAAGCATCATGGAGCTTATGACCACAAATATCCAAGGCACTTTTTCTTCCCTATTGCAGAAAAAATATGAAACAAGCTACTGCCTTAAAGCACAGAAAATTAATGATTACCTAATGACTAGTTGTTACATTTCCAAAATGCATTAATCAAGGACCACTTAGCAGATAAGACATCATGGCAAGAACTACATATGAAAAGCTGAGAACAATTCTGGAAGTGTCTTGAAAATAAAACCCACTTAATTGTTAGAGTAAAGCAAAATAACCTGTGCAGTTCTACAGAGTTACAAGACATCCAGAGATAAGAATTGAACTGGAATGATCCTGAACTCAAGCCGTAAAGACAGAAGTACAAAGAAATTTGTACTTTTCACTTAGAAATTTATCTGCATTGGGAATCTCAGGAACACTAAACTAAATCAACTTATCGGATGAAGTTGAAGGTCACCAGAAGCCTATGCTCTCACTTGAAAGCGAGAACGTAACGTGACTGTAGTTAACTTTTGCGTAATTTAGTTCTCTAAGCCTCTGTCTCAGTGCCCTCAATCAGAATTCAACCTATTCTTATGCTTCAGTTTATAGAATATAGAATATCCTGAGTTGGAAGGGACCCTTAAGGATCATCAAGTCCAACTCTTGACACCGCACAGGTCTACCCAAAAGTTCAGACCATGTTTATTGGGTTTTAAAGTCCATTTTGAGTTAGCCATAAATTTTTGGCTATTTCAGCACAGACATCCTTTAAAAAAAAAAAGTGTTCAACCTTGGACAACTTTGGAAACAAAACTAAAATAAATTGTACACTGCATGCTTAATCTCAGTTACGACAGAATATTTGAATATTTGCCATTAAGAAGCTGTATCCACATTTAGCATAAGCTGCAAATTTAGTGGATCTCATCAGCAAGACAGACTCTTTCAGTCACTGGAAATCAAACTCAATGTGAAGTAAATACTTCACAGTCCCTGCTGAATTACTCTATAAAAAGCAAAGCTATTTAAGTCTACTCTCTGAAAAATTCAACAGTGTTAAACTGTTGTGTGTATAACTCAGAATTTTAAAGAGTTCTTAAATGCAAAAAGATTTGCTGATAAAGTATCTTCAGAGTCTCTGGAGAGTAGACAGCACACGATTTTTGCTTCTTTTTAATAAAAACATCTTCACAAGATCTTCTCTCAACCATGTACAAAGAACAGCTGAACTCCACAACCACTTGCCACGGCAAGGATTATAGCTAAGAAGATTGATGTGGAAAATACTACCAGGAATACACTGTATTTTTACAAAAAAAAAAAAAAACTTTTTTTTTTTTTTTTTTAATGCAGTGCAAACAATGAAATAACAAAACCCATTCCTGTGACACCAAACTCAGCAAATCCCAGATTCCCATAAGCTCCTCTCTGAATCCTGCCTGAAGCACCCCAGTGTGCTGCTCCTCGGTATTTCAGCCAACCTGCTCCCAAGCTACTGCATGCCCAAACTCCACCTGCCACCAGTTGAGGTTCAGGGCACTCAGCTAGCCAAAAACCCACCCTACAAACAAGTGATCAGCTTTTCAATCAGCTTGGTCCCCTTAACTGACTCACAAGCCTAAGACCAGGAGAGCCAATGCCATAAGGTAACTGATCACAGCAGTTCAGATTTCTTCATCTTAAACCACTTCAGAAAAATAGTCAAACACAAGCTCCCTTCATAGCTTTTCCTCAACATGCATTAATCCTTTGTGTGAGCAGTCTCTAGTAGTTATTTTAACGTGAAGGCAGAGGGAAGCCTTTTGTAGGACACTGATAGGCTTTGTTTCCTCACTGTGTGCCTACTTTCAAGAAAACTGTAGGAATTCACTTGTCTTTGAATTTGCCACTGTTCCATCAAAACTGGTTGAAAGAGGCAACGTAACACATAAGCCCTGCTTCCAGAGAAAGCCAGTCTGAAAATAAAGATGCTCAGCTGACATGATTTACTAGTGCTTCTCATCCCCCTCCTTTCAGTTTGACAAATTCCTGTTAAAATTGAGCAAAGAACAGAACGTTTATTACAATTCAGCAGCAAGACAGAACGTTTTCAAGTATCACTGATGGATTACAAGTCAAGCAAAATTATTTGCAATTCTTGCAGAAAGCTATTACTTTTAAACGCAAAGAGGAAAATAAAACTTACTGAAAGGAGCTTCCATGCAATAGGACGAACTCGTTTGGGAATTCCAGACCAACTCAATTTCCGTAATTCTTCTATTAGAAGAAAAGTATTTTATCAGAACTAAGAAAATTATTATCAACATACACAGATATACTCAAATTATCACAATGTTGTTTACATTAATTATGTCTTCCTATGAAGTCCAATGAAACCAAAACATATGGCAATTTTATGGAGTTCGTAAGACACCGGATAATTACTTTCCATAGGGTTATGTATGGGAACAAGCACTACGTGATGAGGCACCTTTCTGGATTATTTCCCAGAATTTCTTTAATATATATGCCTTATATTAACATGCAAGAGGTATTCAGCTTTGCTGCATAATGTGCTTCTATAGATCACTAAAAATGGGATTTGCAGTTACATAAGCAGAATGATACTTTACTTTTGAATGCTGGAATTTATTTCAATGTTATATTTTCATTCTTTATGTTGTACTCCTCTACTGAAAGCTGCTCATCAGAGAGTATACCCAACTAAACCAATCTGTGAGATTTCACACTTTTTGTGTTTGTGTGAAATCTGTTTATCGTGGGGAAAAAAGCTATACAAAAATCTTTGAAAATGTAAAGACAAAAAGATGCCTGACATTTTCCCTAAGAAACGGTATTTTTATGAGGTATCAACTTGAGACAGTAGCTCTTCCTCTTCTTCCTCAGAGTAGAAAATAAGGGTAAAAACTGCACAAGTTCAAATTATCATCCTGCTGAAAACCAACCTGTTTTTTATACGCTTTTTCAATTAATTCTATATACTTGAGTTAACTAATTATGTGAATATGAGATGTTTTCCAAATTCTACACTTCGAGCAAGCGTTTTAAAGTATCCTGTCCACCTAATTACTGAAAAAACAAGCACAAAATAAAGTAACTAAATAAGAATTTGTTGAGTGGATTCTATAGTTTTGTTTGAAATGAGCTGATTTGTATCTTTCCTATAGAAGAAAAAAAATACAAGGTGTTCAAGGTGACACCTTGCTAATGCAAGAACATATATATAAATCAAGGGGTTTTTTTACTACCAATACAATTTATATTTAGAGGTATAGGTCTGAGTAAATGTAGAGAAACAGCAGAAAAGCTTATTACTTAGAAATATACTGAGCATCAAGATAAATTAAATCCTACAGTATTCAGTTTCACAATGCCATGCTATTGCACAAAGTCAGTATGTCACCAAACAACATTTAAATACACTGAACCATTAAAGACATAAAAGATACAGCTTAATGCAGTTACTCTTGATGTCATAGTACCTCTCTCCAGATTGGGCTAGTTTCTATCAGTAACTTACAAACACCATACCGCCAACAGGGCTTCTAAAAATGAAGTCTAGACAACAAATTTTGCAGGTTATTTTTTTCTCCTCACATGAGCTTCATTATTTTTAGTTATCTTCCAACACAGTAGTCCTGCTATAACTCCTCACAAGAAAATTTTACCTTGAAGTAAAGGTAAAAGTTGAGAGAAAAAGCTAAGATCCTAAGCATCAAGTTACTTTGCAACATGGGCAATTTCACTGTCACATTACTCTTCTTACCCAATGATTTAAAAAAAAAAAAATCAATATCGACTGCATTTATAAACATGATTATTCTTTGGTTATGTTTTGATTTTAAAAGATTTGTCCTAACCCAGGAAAGAATTTTATCTCAAGAAGCAAGTAGACATCGTATGAAATGTTGTAGCAGTTTTCTCATTCCATAATACAAAACCAATTCATTTTTAACTATCAGCTTGAGAGTCGCTGAATAAAACTATTGTTTCTATTACTTCTCTCTCTGCATTGCAAAAAAGCAAGAATATAGTAAGAATACCGGTCTTTTTGCCTTACTTGGCAACTTGCTGTAGAAATGTACTATTCTTCCATGTCTTATTAGGATACATATGAAGGGTATACACTATATCAAAATCAGGAAAAGCAGAGTGTATCAGTCTAAGCGAAACGTAAGCAGAATCATCATATGCCTTCAAAGAAATTTATAAGCCCACAGTACTTCTGAACATAAATATGCATGGGTGGAAGAAGCCCAAAAGCATGTGTATACACAGAACTCCAAGGAATCTGGTGACATCCAAATAAATTCCTCCCTTGTTCTTCATTTAAAGGATTTTATTGGCACTGGAAGAATATGGGATGAGCAAAAGAGCAGTAACACTAAAAAAAATATGATACTACCGGAGTTTGGTGTGAAACGAAGTGTTAAAGTAACAATGAAAGCAGAAGTTGTACAGACTATAAACACTGATTAAGAGACAGGGTGAAGTGCAAATTGAACTCTGTACCACAGGTTAGCACAGCAGCTATACCAGGAGCATGCTGTCACCGAAAACACAAGGGATTCAATGGGAAAGATACGTCATAAGCAAATGAATTTCTCCGATATTAAATAAGTGACTCATGAATTTCAATGATATTAAATTTCCGGTTAGTAATTAGAAGCACTCAGGATTGTCCATTCAAGATAAAAAATTAGGTCTGGGCAGAGATTTGTTAACCACAAAGGCAGACACTGGCCGATGATGCACTGAGGACAGAAATCAGAAAGCAGTTCTAAAGTCAAAGAACTATTGAACTATGTCACAAAAACTGGAAAAAAGCCACGGCTGGATTCTGAAGAAAATCCAAGAATACACAAGACAGAGAAGAAAATAAGAATCCCGCAAACAGCTCTGCCATGACACACAGCGAGGCTGTGATACAGAACACAGCTGGACAGGAACAAGCTTCATTAAGTATAGTTGCAAGGCAAAGCAGATGGACTGCTGAAAGAAAAAACAAGAAATTTGATATTTTTTTTTAACATCAGGAAAAGATGAATAACAGCCTACCAGTTTAAAGGAGAACAAAAGTCCAAGTACACCACCATTTGGAGCTGGCTTTTTGGGTTCTGAGGATTGGTTCTTTGTTGGCATTAGCTTTGAGGATGAGTTTTTTAGGGAGAGGGGTTGAGGAGAGAAACGTTGGGAAGCAGAATGAAGACCAAAAATACCTGAACAGAGAATTTGTTATTCTACAGTGGTATTAAGCGCTCATCTTCACATGAGCTTGATCTTTGGCCATAAAAAGAAGCCTATCCAAGAAACCCAAATTAAACCAAAGTCTCTGCATTCCAAAGAACAGAAAGAGACAGCTTCATAACAGATGTACAAGATGAAGAGCAAGGTTGCAGTTCAAAGAAAAATTGTTAATTCCTATGCTACAGTTATAGGTCATATCAATTTCAGTAATTTTGCCTAAGCAAGCAGAAGACAGAACCATTAATCTGATTTACATGCAATTCTAATTTTCTATCCTACAAAAGTAGGTAAGATACACTTATAATACTGCAAGCTCTCAATGAGTGTCCAAAGCAAGAATTACCACTCCACCTAATAATATGGACAGTGAATGACCAGAGGTGCCATAAATCAGAAAGCTCAACACCCAGCTTGTTAGGGAGTGGTGAGACCACAGGCCTGGAACTGGCCCTAACAGGGTGACACCAGGATTCTTCATCCACCCATCCAGGTCTGCCCCTGCCAGCCAAGGAACACCCCCAAAGTGCTCCTGACAACCAAAGCAGCTCTGACTCACCTGGCATGGGCTTGGCAGGTTCGGTTTTATTGTCAGACACCAGCTGCAATGATCAGGCATAGGATGCCCAACAGGTATCCCCCAAGAGTACCTAGTCATACAAATACAGGTCTTACCGTTTTCCTATTACTTGCTCATTTTCATCATCCTCCTATTTCCCTTTCTCTACCCCAGTCTTCTCTTGAATTAATTAACTATTCCAATTACTCCATCCCTTAGTGGTCCTATTTTTGCTCCTCCAGACTGTGGTGTTTCTGCGATGGCTGCCCAGGCACTGCTGGTTTTCTAACACTGTACTTTCCAAAGCGACCCCAGTGCTCCCCTCCAGGTAATGGCACTGCTGGGACACTCCTCACATAACTGCCCCTTTGCTACTTAACTCCAGGCATCCCACACGGTGCTAACTGCAACTTCTGGCATTCTCTGTGCTGTGGTTGTTACGTTCAGCAGTTTCTCAATCACATCCAGCAGTCCTCCATGCCCCAGTGAATTAGCTCAATCTCAGACCAGGGCACAGTCAGCAGCTTGGGACTGCAGGCAAGTATCCAACACATCTGAACCAAGTTTCTATTCTGCACGTGATTTCAAGTAAATCCCTGAGCTACCAAGCACTAAATCATAAGTAGCAGTATCACTGGGTCTTTCCTTCTAAAAGCCAAAAAGGCAGGAATCAATCAGAACAAGCAGAGGCAAGGTAGGCATGTGAGAATATCAGAAATTTGGTATTTTGTACACTTTGTGAATTAAGAGAAAATCTGCCTTTAGCTAAATACAACACTAACAAATTACACACTCATTTCTTCTCCACCCCAGAACACGGTAATAAGCTCTGGTTTTGGTTTAATAACAATGAAGGCCCCAAGTCTTCAAAAGCAAGTGGTCTCCAGCTGTGCATCATACTGCTCCACTAGTCCTTGTGCAGTATTTATGAGTGCCTATGTTTCGCCTCTTGTAATCTATTTGTACTATTGGTAGGTTGGCTGAAAGGAAACACGTCTTACACCTTAGTTTATGGCTTTTTCATACAATCATTTTGCTAAAGCTTCAAGTTTTGGCTACTGTTACACAAACACCATTTACAAACTGCGTAATAAGTATAACATCTGTGGCAGAGAGAAAACAAGTTGCAACTCAGAAACTGCTTTTATTATTTTTACACATCAGTTTTTCATTTTCACTCTGTATTGCATTAAACTCTCACTAATCTTTCACATCGCTGTTTTTCCTCCTCCCTCAACTCTGTCCAAGCAGGAATCTATGCACAAACACATGTGCCAGCCTCTCAAAACAATCCAAGAAAAGCAGTATAAAAATATATAACAATAAATAAACACAAGCATAAAATAACAGAAGATGCAAATCTACTGTCAGAATCAGGTAACGTGGAGCATATGATAAAACCAGTGACAAATCATCCAGGAGAAATACAACATACTGCTAGGTAACTAATTTC